GCGCGCACACACACACACACACACACACACACACACACACACACACACACACACACACACACACACACACAGGTGATGGAGGACGGCAAGGCGCTGCAGAAGGGCGCCGCACGCATCCAGGTGGGTGGAAGGGGCGAGTGGGGGTGTGGCGGCCACGCAGCAACCCACTGCGCGGCACGCCCCGCAGGGTCACCACACACGCACTCGACAGGTAGCTCTGCTCGGAGAACAGCCTGCGGTGCAGAGCTGGCGCGGCGTTGTTGTGGGAGGTATTTTCAGGGGACGGCGGGCTCGGCTGATTTTAGCATCATCGACGCCGCCCCCCCCCCCCACACACACACACACGTGTTTGGTTGGTCTCGCAGGTGGACGTGCTGCCGCTGCCCGACGGCCGCAAGGCAGTAGGTGTCAACTACTTCCGGGAGGGAGCCTCCTTCGTCGGCGCCCCCGTGTCGCCCATGCCGCCGGCGCCGTGAGCAGCGCCGCCCGCGCCGCTGCTCTCGCTTCCCGCGCCCGCGGCCCGCAGCCCGCGCGTGCGGCCGGGCGCGGGCGCGGCCAGTTGTTGTGGTTCGGTCCCTTGGCTTTTCCAATGTAAAAGTAGCTCTTGGTTTCTGGGTTTGCGGGGTTTCGCAGTGGCAGACAGGTATGCGGCTGCTGCTGGTGTATACGGAGGGCCTGACAAGGTGTCGGCTGCAAGTCGAGTGAGGGAGGGAGGTGGTGGGGCGCGCCCAAGAAAGTCAAGGGGTGCATGTGTGTGTGTCGAGTGCCCTGGCGCCGGCCAAGACGCTGCAACACTGACGCATGTGTATGAAGGCAGGCTGGGAGAAGCAGGGCAGCAGGCGTGTATCGTGCCTACTCTACAATGCAACTGCCTGCTGCGATGGGTTTGTCACCTGTCGCGCCAGTGACGGCCCACCAGCTGCGTCCCAGCGGCAGGGGACAGTGACGACAGTGGCGGGGCAGCCACACAGCGCGCCTTTGAACGACATCGAGCAAAGACAAATATCCCTAGACAAAGGTGACACGACAGCTTGGTACCATTGTTATCACACCATTCACCACGGCGCAAGGTTGATTGAACCTCCAGCTCGATTCCGCCGTTCCCATTCACCGTCCGATCGGCTTCGAAGCACTTCCTCATCGTCAGAATAATCTCGACTGAGTGTGATCTCTGAGGCCTTCAGGCAACATGGCTCGCGAGTGTCGGGTGATCCTGGCGGGTGAGTGTGGCGGCGGTGCAAGCAGCTTGAGATCGGCATGGTGTGCGTGTGTGCGGCAGCAGCAGCTGAATGCAAGCAGCCACTCGTTGGCGGAGGGCTGGTCACTACGGCACGTCAGGGCCAGCCGACCCTGTACTGCACGGTTTCTATAAGCAACCAACACCTGTCGCCCCCCCTCGCACCACCTGCAGTGGCACTGCTGCTCGCCCCCGGGGCCCTGGGCGCATCCCTCAAGGCCGGCGGCCTGACAGACCCTGGCAGCCGCGCCCTGGGCATCCAGGCCGTCGACACCGGCAGCCCCGGCATCCTGGGGGGCAGCTGGTTCAGCCCTGCTAGCAGGGGCCCCCCCACCAGTTTGAGCAGCACTGGTTTTGGCAGCAGCCGCAGCGGCCTCGGCAACTTGTTGCCTGGCTTTGGCGGTTTCGACAACGCCCTCAACACCCGCGGCAGCCGAGGCCAGGTCTCCAACCTCTTGGGCAGCCGGCCATTCGGCGGCCGCACGCCCGGGTTTCCCCCCTCACTCGCATCTTCCGGCGGCAGTGGCAGCGGCTTTGGCAGCAGCGGCGGCGCGGTCCCCGCTTACACCAACACAGGCGGTGCCGGGACCATCTTCCGCCGCCTGGGCGAGCAGGCCGCTGCCGCCGCCGCCGCCAGCGCAAGAATTGAGGCCGTCGGCGGCCGCACACCCGGCTCCGCCGCCCCCGATGCCGTCACAAACTCTATGGGCGCCCTCGCCACCGGCCCGTACCGCGACCTGATCATCAACTATGGCAGCATGGCCGCCCTGGGGGCCAGGGCAGCCCCCAGCTTTCACAAATCTGGCAGGCCCGCCGCCGACCAGGGCGGCCGTGGCCAGATCTTCCGCCGCCTGGGCGAGCAGGCCGCCGCCTCTGCGGCCGCCAACACCATTGCCATGGGCGGCCGCACGGCCGGCTTTGCCCCCTCCGACCGCGCCCCCATCACCAACCCTGCGGGCAGCAGCTGGGGCAGCTTTAACTCCAAGGGCGTGCATGCCACTCCCCAGTACCGCGGCATGCTTGGCAACTATGACAGCGTGGCCGCCCCGGGGACCAGCGGGGCCCCCAGCTTTGACAAATCTGGCAGCCCCGCCGCCAACCAGGGCGGCCATGGGTCCATCTTCTGAGCTTGCGTGGGAAACGGCCTGCAGGCTGTTACAGTGCCCACGTCCCCCCCGACGACCGGACCTTTCAATGAGCGACGGCTCCAGTTTGCATCTCCTCTGTGAAATGACGAGGCCGCATCACAACCTGCAAGAGTGGTTGTTTCAACCTGGCCCTTCTTGCTTCAATGAATCAAAGCGCTGGTTGCAGTGCCATGCCCACCTCACATGATTCCTTACAACAATGTGCTCTCGCCTCGCTGCAGTTCTTCGACCATGATTTCTTACAATGTATCAGTTGCCGAACTGGCAACCTGAAGAATACGACACCCGAATTTTTGACCGCGCTGCCCATGTGATCCACGCCAACATGATTGACTCGGCCAGGTTGCAGCTGTAGTAATGCTGCTGTTGTTGACGCGGGCCTCCCTACAGCAATGACCGTGCCCACCGCCAATCGCCTCATTCATAGGGGTCAACCTGTAAATAACCAGCCACGCACCATCATCCGTGCTGACATGATCACTCAAGGGGCTTGCGGGCTGCGCCCCTACCTGTGCATCGCAGCACTTGGCCCCCGGTGCAGACTGCAGCGTTGTGTTGCCCGCCCTGGCAATTCGTGCCTGTCCGTGCGGGCTTTGAGCTCCTGCCAACAGCAAGAGCATGTGTTTGAACAGTCAAGCTTGCGCCCTCGCATGCTCGCCAAACGCGTTTCCTCGTCATCACCTGCCCGCTGCCGCCGCGTTGCGGTTGCTTACGGTCGTGAAAAGTGCTCCTTGCTCAAACCCCTGACCAGCGCCCAGGTGCGGGCAGCCGTTGGACCCTTGATTGTAAGCATAGTGAACGCCAGCCC